ACGTTTCAAGCTTAACGGGAATCGAGCGGATACGCGGTAAAGCTTTTTGCAACTAAGCGACCGGCTTTACCAGGGACGTTGCCGCAAGAACCGGACGTTCTGGATTGGCGGGCGTGAATGGAAGCTCAGGAGGGTTCGGGAAGCCGTTTCGGCATTCAATAGAGCGGTTTTCCACGGTCACCTCGGTCCTCGCTGCTATTTGAATAACAAAATCAGCAGGAAGACGTATTATCGGTTCCGTGGCCGTGCGATCGGCCGGTTCTTCTCGTGCGCGAGTTTATCGCGGCGGTCGTTTGCATTCCAAGCGAAACCGATCCCCGTTGCGTGACATTCAACATTTCCATCCTCGTCGATCTACTTGTCCTTTCCCGCCTCTGGATCTCCTCCCTTTCCGCGTAATCGCGGACTAAAAACCGATCTGAACGTCTAATTCGAAGAATTCGGTAACAGCTGCTGCCTAGTGATAGACTGACTTTATTTAAATCGCTTCGACCGATACCATTTTAAATTTCCTATTTTCTGTGTTCTCTGTTTTCTCCGAGAGAACTTGGAGCAAGTGTTAGTACAGTTACATCCAGGCACATTAACCCTTTGTAGTATAGTAGTAGAATTATATCCAAACACATTAACTCTTTTTACTACAATATCATGTCACGTGACTACAGTTGCAAGGTGATCTATCAGACTCGTATAGTAGTAGAGTTATATCCAAACACATTAACCCTTTCAACTACAATATCATGTCACGTGACTACAGTTGCAAGATGATCTACCAGGCTCGAATAGTAGTAGAATTATATCCAAACACATTAACCCTTTCTACTACAATATCATGTCACGTGACTACAGTTGCAAGGTGATCTACCAGACTCATTTTTTCACTGCGATTGAATTTTAGGTTCAATTCTAATTATAATCTGTGTAATCAATGGTCAGACTCATACTTTCAACATGTTGTATTCATCACATGACATAACCTCAATGCCTCATACTCGTCACACGACATAACCTCAATGCCTCATACTCGTCACATAACCACAACACCTCATATTCGTCACATGCCTCAACATATTCGCCACCTCATAATATTTCTGTATCATCACACTCATCTACTCTACCCCCAAAACTGTATCATTTTCCCTCAAAAGTCCCGGAAGTACCCTAAAGAAGAAGCAAGTAAATAAACAGTGCTGATGAAAAGTTCCACTGATTCATTTGCCGAAATGCAGTCTGAAAGTTTCCTCGCAATCAACGCGGACGACTCATTCTTCGAGGTGGCTTTCTAAGAAGGACAAACGATCCGATTGTAAAAAGGGGTTACGTTGGCAGGCCGTTAACGAGCATTTCCAGCAAAAGCAGCCTCACTTTGTTATTCGGATCGAGGGTGACAAGGCAGACCCGCGTCGAATGTTGACGAAGTCCGAGGGTGACGATTCACACCCCGGAGCAAATTCAAATTCTGCGGCACGGCTTTCCCCTGGATTTCCAGACTTTTATCGTCCCTAACGTCGACAGAGTGTCCCGTAAACGGAATATGCTGATTCGCAGGAGTGCTGACCGTGGGCTTCTCTGCTTGCACAGGAGGTCTCATATGAATACCGATCTTCGAGTCCTTTTCGCGATATCCTTTATCATGGAAAAAGGGGCGGAATCGTTGAAAGTGGTTGGGAAGTTTGGCGTAGATTCTTGGGTAATCACTATATAACGTTCCTTATTAAACGGACAAGGGTGGACGGCAAAAAGGCAAACGGGTACGGTAGCGAGAAAAAGAGAGAAGAGAAGACAAAGAACGAAGAAAAATATCGTCGTGAGTTTACATTACAAAGTATGATGAGGGCCGTTCCTCCGTTCGAGAGATCTCCATGAAGACCGCGTTAAAAGAATCTCTGGTCTGACCATATTGGTCGAACAGGTGTGCCTGTACGACGCAGGAATAAACGATTAGCGATTCGATTAGCATCCGCGGATCATATCGATCGCGGGTCGCTTGCATTCCGCACGATACGTTCGTGCTTTCGAACGCGGCGATTTCGCAATCGGCCCGATCACGAACACGAGTAATTTACGCGTCGTCGGCCGCGCTTAGCCTGAACAAGGAGCAGAAGTTAATTACCGATAATTCGTCGTTACCGTGGGACGCGTCGGGGCTTAATTAACAAGTTCCGCCGTGTCATGATCGCACAATGTTCGGAACCTTGCAAAAAGGTTGGATTGAAAATTGGAAAGCGTGATCGCGCGTGTCGCGGCTCTTTCTTGTTCGTCGACGGACGTCGTTACTCCGTTGCTAATTATACCCCCAAAAAATATACCGAAATATGGCAATTTCTCAAATTACGAGGCGTACTGAATCGACATCGATTTTGTCGTACAATGTTCGCGATTCAGGATCCAGCTGTTCAATCGACTATTGTATTATTGTCTCCTTATCTCAACGTGATGACTTTTATAACATAAAATACAATATAATTCTTACATTAAAGAATAATGTAAGATTATTCTTACAAATTATGTAAGAATGTAAAAGAAGTTCCATATTATTTGAAGTTCGTAAAAGGACCCTTTTTTATACGAATACTGCGGTAGAATCTTTGAGCGTTTCACGCGATCTCCCTCCCTGGTCCTTTTCCACGTAAAGTATGTCATAAAACCAATTATACTTGGCGAGCACCGGCTCCATGGCGGTTTGTCATTCTCCTCAAAGAATTCTTTCGTGGCGTAGAACCTGCCTGTTAACTCGGGGCATTATCTGCCCTGTCCTTCGGCCAGCTTTTCGTCAAACTCGTAAAACAGTACGATTCTCGAAGACGTTCCCTACAACCTAAAAAAATCTGAAAACGCTAGAAGCAGATAATTCGGGCTTCTCGAAATGACAGCATACGAGCAATACTGCTGATCGAACTAATTTGGAATGTCAGAAACGTAACGTGTCAGGGTGGCGACGTGTCGGATTTTAACGAGGGGCGATCTGCTCGGAAAAGTTGACTTTCATTCTCCTTGTGAGAGCGATACGAAAATCCGTGTTTTGGTAAAAGTCGACAGCGGGTTCCGAGATCTCCATTCAGCACGCGAGGAGTCGGCTTCATTGAAGCTCCGTGTCGCAAATCGAGCATCGGACAAAGCTCCGAAAGGGTGGCAAAAAATGCCCGCTCGGAGTCTCGGAAATGCCGAACCGGTCGTAACTAACCGCGAGAGGATCCTCCTGACCGACGAGAACGCCAGGATTTCGGCTCGACCCAGTATATCTACGGAGGTTGAGAAACCGAGCAGAACGATCGTCGAAACGAGGACAAACGGCAGAAGGACCGGGAGGGTCATTGACAACCTGTGTTTTACTTTATAGCATTTAGCCCCGTTGTTTGTCTTATTGCCATTAGCCTTCGTCAATTAGCAATTGTATTTTTAATGCCGATTCCGTGAATCGAGGTGCAGCTCGAAGGAGACGGTAGGAGAAAATCAGATAGCGAGTTGGTGGGGATCCGAGTGGTCAGGTGAACGAAGGGACAGAGAAGGGGGGCATGTCATTAGGAGTCATTAATATCAGAGGCCTCTGTAATTTGACACACTTCCGATCGCCTAGCGCCACCATCGCCACCCGCTCCATTTTTCTTCCCTTCGTTCTCCTTAAACCTGTCTATTCTCTTCACTTGCACTCTTCGTTCCCTTCTCTTTTTACGCTCTTTCTCGTTGAATACGCTGTACTTAACTGCCACTCTTCTTCATTTTTTATCAAACTGTCCACGGGATTTCTGATACTTGTCTTTTTTTAGTTATAGAAATATTTTAGATACTTCAAGAAGGACTTCAATTATGAAAGCACAGAGAGTCACTTAAAATTGCTGTTACTAATAGTAACTTATAATGTATTCGACAGGGTGAGGCACTTAAAAGTCACCTGAATAACTTGGCGATGACAGGATGACCTTCATATATCCTTGACGCCGTCACTTATTAAAAAACTGACATCGTATGATCAAGTCTTTGATACCGAATAATTTTGACCCAATTTCCTATCAGCAATATCAACTAAAATAGGTGGTCAGTCTTAAATGTGTCATCCTGTACATTTACATCACATATGACACATATGTACTATACCAAATATACTTGTATTTGACGTCGTCACTTAAAAAACTAACATCGTGTGATCAAGTCTTTGATACCGAATAATTTTGACCCAATTTCCTATCAGCAATATCAACCAAGATAGATGGTCAGTCTTAAATGAGTCACCCTGTACATTTACATCACATATGACACATATGAACTATTATACATTATCTATTATATAACTATTATACTTGTATTATAATATGAATTATACGGAATTAGTCAACTTATGTAATTGATCAACTTGACCTAATAAAAACCTATGTGTCTTGTTAGCAAAATAGTAGAGGTTTCGAAATGTTAAATTTAGTATGCATCTCCTAGATCAGAGAGGGAATGAAGCAATGTTTGGAAGTCGAAGAGGATGACGATGCATCATCATTCGACGACTGGTTTCGGACCCGTTCTCCACGGCGGTCGATTAATAAAATCCCCGCGGCGGTGTCCCTCGTTCCCTCGCCCATTCACCGTCCATTCGGTTTCTTTGTCGTCTGAAAATTTCTCAATCAGGGCCTTTCCTTTCCCGCGACGGATTTTCTGCGTCCGGCGTGTACAATGTAAAAGCTCATCGTTGCAATTAAACGTTGGCCGCGCTCGATCTTGCCGGTCCGCGCCGGCAAAAAGCCGGCTAAGAAATAACGACGCGGATTTATAATGCCGATACTTGTGAGCCTTTCGCTCAGTCCGCCGTGTCGTATTATTCGTTTGTGAAATTTATGTTGCTGCCATCGGCGAAGGTTAAACCCTTCGGTACGTTAATCGTATCGCGACTCGAGGGAGAGAGAGAGAGAGACCGTAAAGGAGAATCGCCGGGAGAAAGAGAGACGGAGAAAGAGAGAGGAAGAAGAGAGAAACGGACGACAGACGGACGATGAAACTCTGTGCAAACTCACCTTGTATGGATTCCGGCGAGGCTGGCTCCTTATCGATTCGGCCGAGCGCGTCGCTGGCTGCAACAAAAAGTGCAACGGGGCCTCGTTAGTGACGTCGCGTTATAAAGCCGCCGGGAAACCTCGGCTTTTTCTCGTAAAAATGATAGATGCGATTCCGAAAACTATTTCCACGCCTGCGAGATACCTAGCCTCAGCTGTTTCCCTTACAAAAATCATTCATGCTCCTTCACGAATGTCTTTCAATTCGACGTATGTCTCAATTACAATCGCAGTATACCTTCAGAAGTTACTTTAAAAATAATCACTAATATAAATCATCCCCAAAATTCCTCCACATTCGCCAAATCAGTGTAACCTTCGCATATGTCATAGCCTCCCCGAACAGAGGGATTCCAGTCGTATTTGCGCCGGATATCCTTGACCAGTATTGAAATGTGTGTCTAAAAAAAGGGGAGTAAAGGAAAAGGTGGGATTATCTGAATACAGTCGTTTCAGGGGTGAGTTGCAGCCCCCCAGGGGGTAGTAGGTGGTCGCCCTAGGTCCCCTCTCCGTGACGTATAGTGGTCATCTTCGCTCCGAATTACCACCATCTCCTTTTCACGAGCCTTTTCCCCTACTGCAAATAGATTGTTTGAATATCGATTCGGCTCGTTTCTCAGAATCGCGAAAAGGGGACCATGTGATTGCGTTTTAGCATAATTTGGCTGATTGATGCGAACCCAAAGTTTAATCAGACTGCATGGTTCTCCGAAACCATGGGGATTGAGAGAATTTTTCGGCGAGATCGGACGACAGATTAGCAAATTGGCACGAATTTGAGTGGCTAGTTTTTGAACGGTGCATTTATCGAGTCGTTTCAATTTAATATAATTCCCTGAGAACACAAAAGGTCAGCGATTCCATGAAACGAAACTCATTATCCGTTTATTTTAATTACAGTTAAATCGTCGCGAAAAGAAACTGATACGGCGTATAAATTGAATTTGCAGTCGGAATAGCGGTGAATGATTTTCAGCCGCCAATTAACCGGTGGCCGAGGATCAAACGAAGAAACAACGACCATAATCGTGGAATAAGTTATATGTAGAAGGCTGGTGTATCCAACGCGAGCGGCTAACTGAAAAAGGAAACGGCGTCGGGAATGCGAGCACCGCGGTCTAACGATCATCGGTACGCCTCTGAAAAACGAACAATGCGAGGTCCTTGATGCGCTCGTTTTCATTATTAAACGAAGGACTGCCGCCGGGAAACTGGCACACGTTTACATTAAATATGAACGTCGACCTCGTTCGTCTCTACTTGCAACCGTCGACTTTTTTCTGAAGGTGCATTAGTCACAATGCGCGAACGCTGCCCAACGGCGGTATCCCTTGCCTATGGAAAAACTCGATTAAAACGATCCTATGATCCATAAATACCGGACGCCTGATTAGCAGCTTCGATCAGTGTCATCTAAGTCGTTAAGATGATAATTTGCTGCGGGATTCGTTTCGTATTAACCTCAAATTATTCTATTTTGGCTACGCTTTAGATGATGTGGAGGAGGCTCCATCTTGATACAGAAATTTGGAAATTTGGTAAGTTCGCTACTTGAGCGTCTGGAAATTTGGCAAAATGGCTATATGAGAGATTGGAATATTGGAAACTGAGAATTTGGTAAATTGGCAATTTGAGAATCTAGAAATTTGGCAAAATGGCTATCTGAGAGATTGGAACATTGGAAACTGAGAATTTGGTAAATTGGGTACTTGAGAGTCTGGAAATTTGGTAAAATGGCTACCAGAGAGATTGGAACATTGGAAACTGAGAATTTGGTAAATTGGCAATTTGAGAGTCTAGAAATTTGGCAAATTTGCTATTCGAGAGACTGGAACTTTATAAATTGAGAATTTGATAAATTTGGTACTTGAGAGTCTGGAAATTTGGCAAAATGGCTACCTGAGAGACTGGAACTTTGTAAATTAAAAATTTGATAAATTGGGTACTTGAGAGTCTGGAAATTTGGCAAAATGGCTACCTGAGAGACTGGAACATTAGCAACTAAGAATTTGGTAAATTGCCAATTTGATAGTCTCGAAATTTAACAAATCCAGAATTTAAGAATAATTTGGCAAATTCGTAAAGACTGGTGGTTTTTTAATGGAGGAGCTCGATAAATACGAGATACCCTCTTCCGCGCTGAAAGTCACCGGAGGATCGTAAAGCAGTTACGTTTTGCACATCCACCTATGCAGTATTCACGGTATGCTCGAGAATTGGGCTCTCAACACGTCTCCATCGTTCCTTTAAATTGTTTACTGCTTGTAAAAATGACGGGACTTTCAAGGAAATATACTGAACATATAGCTTTCAACATCTTGCATAATCTTTAGCATAATTAGATTTCGAAGTATGAACTTGAACTAGATCATCAAATTTAATTTCACTAAAAAATTATAATATCTAATTTTAATCAAAGTGTCCCTACTTGCTTAGTGCCTCCTTGACTACTTAGTGGCACTATAGGTCTAGGTTGATCCTTCGCCATTGGAAGCTCTGTACTCACGATATTTAACCTTTAATGAATCACACTGATCGTAAATGTCATCGAACGTAGCAATCGATCCATCATAAGGCTACGATAATCACAATTTGCCCATTCTCCTGTCTATCAATCTCCCCACGCGATTGATATTTCTCATCGAGATTTTCGTATTCACCGTAGACGGACATCGATTTCCACGATGTCGACCGGACCGGTCACTTATTAATTCGACACGATCGCCTTCTGACAGGCCGGAATCGCGTGTCTGCGGCCACGATCCACCCTTCCCTCGGTATTCATAAAGGTCAGCCGTGTGTGGCTCGCAAAGTGCCACCTCTCGTGCACGTATTTCCATTCAGCCGGTTACGTGGTCGAGACACCTGTACAGCTAGTCGACAGCGTTGCGGACAGGTGAGCTCGATAGTCTTCCACTTGCTTGCCGGAGAACCGTATTCTATCGGAAGATCGGATTGCACGAAATCAAATTTTTGGCTCGTGTGAAAAATTCATTGCTGAAAGTCTGAGTGCTGTTCATAAAGAGCTGCTCGTTTCTAATCATAGGACTCTTCCAGATGGTTCGATCATTGATAGCAATATTCGCATCGTTGCAATCGTTTCTCAAATTATAAAAGTTGTCGAAAGAATCGTAAAGCTAATTTCATAGAATCGTAAAATTAACCGATGAAGTTCTTTATGGAGGAAAGCATCCTCGGTTTGTTCCGGCAGCGATTTCTCATCGCTATTCACGCGCGTTGTGGCGGCATGATTTCACCCCTGGCGCATTCTATCTGAGAACGTGGTTTCCATATCGGCTCACCGACGGTGCATACGTATTACACGTGATGGTTCTTAAAAATTGATGAGAGGGTCAGTACCACGCAAACTAGATGTATCCGGATCCCGCATCTCGTATTCATGGTGCTCCTTCGATTCGAGCGGGAGAACGTGGATAGAGTTTGGCCGGCGTGACCCGTTCGTGAAGAGAAAAAAACGGAGACGTTGGAAAACGCGAGCTCGCTGGCGAATTCAGCGCGATTAGAATATATCGCGACTGGAATGGCCGGAACGTAATATCGTTCCCCGGAAACCGCAGCCTTTTCAAAGCGAGCATAGGAGGGTTGTGCGGTTGAACCACCGCAAAGCAAACGAAAATGTCAGCATTAATATTTCAGTCGTCTCTTGTAAGCCGGCCAACGGTCTCTCTATGCTTATTACACTTATTGTATCGTGGCAAGGTTTAAATATTAAAATCTCGTTTGCCCGATGAAACTTGCCGCTGGCTACGCCCGGAAGTTCAGGCGAGTCGAGGTCGCTCGCGAAAATAGCTCGCGACAGAAATTTTACGTCCGTGATTGGACCAGTAACGGTGCTAAAACATTTCTAAGTTCGATGAATCATTGAGGAGCACCTGACGAGATATTAAAAAACGGAGTTCGTCAAGGATATCGTTTTACGGTTCTATCGAAGGCTGCTTTTTTATTAGAATAAACTGAGGCATAGTTTTCAGATCGAGTCCTAAGAATGCTAGTTACATTCCTTCGAAATCCTAGCTCGCATTCGTCAAGATAACCGAACAAACGTTTCCTCCGGAAGAAACCTTAATCCAGTGGATAGCAACTGTAACCTTCGTGACGAAGAACCGATGGTAAGGTTGCGGAAGAAGCAGGAAACAGCGAGAAAGAGGAAAGGAGAAAGAAATGCAGCGCTGGAAACGACGTTCTTGCACGTGAGCCGAGACTTTTTCCAATTACTAACGGCGCCATTCGCGAGCCGGCTGGCGGCGATTATTTTTAAAACAAGAATATTCCCTTCCGCCCCCGGGACATAATGAGGAGGAGGAGGTGAACGTAGAGGCACGGTCGGAGGGCGCGATAATGGCGGCCGTTATGAAGAAATCAACCCAACCCCCGGTCTTACCACCCCCGTTGGCCCGCTATGCCGTCCCTCTGCCCACTTGATCTTCCGTCTCCATGGCGACCGCCTTGTCCAACGGACCCCTGCTCGCACAGGGGGTGGTTGCGAGCATTCTCTTTTATTATGAGTCTCCTCCCGCGGAAGGGTTGCAACTCCTTCTTCCTATGACTTTACAAACCTATGTTCACAGTTTGCTGATAGATAGTTATGTTTAGATATCGTTTATGGAGGGGAAGTATTTTAAGATGGAATCGCAAGGTCTAACCTGTATCTTACATTGTCAGATTTTCTAGGTCCACAAATTCCTACGTCTTCAAATTTCTAGATACATAAATTCCTACATTTTGACATTTCCACATTTCCAATATTTGAGGTTCAACAATTCCTCAAATCGAATTCGAAAGTTCTCAAATTTTTAACCCAGCCAAATCTCCAAAAATTCTAAAAACTGAGCGAGTCTGGAAGCCATATTTGCTTTCGACGCGGTTTACAGTTTCGTTGCCCTCTGGCAAGTTAGTTACAAGGCAACGGCGAATATTCCGTTCGTGGTAAGGATAATTTCGAGGCATAAAGAGGTAACCAGATCGTTCCCTTTGGCCGGGAGTTTCCAGGAATCGCT